AGCATGCCAACGACTTAAATCAAGAAATAGTTTTCTAAGATCTACAGAGTCACTCGCTGGAACACCTCAGCAAGCGAGAGTCCAAAAGTGGCAGAGCCTCAATCAATGGCTGATACCAAATGAGAGATTCCCCCCTGGGCACACAGAAGACTGGGCAACTTGGAAGGTGCTGAACAGACTGCGCTCTGGCACCACGAGATGCAGAGCCAATCTTAAGAAATGGGGCCACAAAGTGGAATCCATGACATGCGAGTGTGGAGAAGAGCAAACCACTGACCACCTGCTGCAATGCAATCTGAGCCCTGCTACATGCACAATGGAGGACCTTCTTGTGGACAACACCAGAGGCACTCCAAGTGGCCAGATACTGGTCAAAGGACATTTAATCAACTACCAAGCTTGCAAACTCTGTGTCTTTTGTATGTTTGTTTGTTTGTTCTGTCAAAAATGTAATACAACTGTTCGGTTGCCTGACACGATAAATAAATATACTTTCAATGTTCCATGAAAATGACTGCAAGCCAGATTTTTTTCTAAGCATTTCAATTGCTTCATCAAAAATAAATAAAATCATATACCCCATGCATGTTTACCTGCAAATATCAGAAGAAAAAAATTGCAGCACATCATTCCTACTGACAAAAGGGGGAAATGATGATCCATCTATAAGAAATATGTGAACAAAAATGATGATTATGCATACATTAGATATTTCCCAATTTACAATCAAGTTTGTGTTTAATTATAACAAATACATTCATAAGGGCAAGAGGCAGCAGATCATAGAATCATAGAATCAAAGAGTTGGAAGAGACCTCATGGGCCATCCAGTCCAACCCCTGCCAAGAAGCAGGAATATTGCATTCAAATCACCCCTGACAGATGGCCATCCAGCCTCTGTTTGAAAGCTTCCAAAGAAGGAGCCTCCACCACACTCCAGGGCAGAGAGTTCCACTGCTGAACGGCTCTCACAGTCAGGAAGTTCTTCCTCATGTTCAGATGGAATCTCCTCTCTTGTAGTTTGAAGCCATTGTTCCGCGTCCTAGTCTCCAAGGAAGCAGAAAACAAGCTTGCTCCCTCCTCCCTGTGGCTTCCTCTCACATATTTATACATGGCTATCATATCTCCTCTCAGGCTTCTCTTCTTCAGGCTAAATATGCCCAGCTCCTTAAGATGATTGACTTATGTCCATCTAGCACATTTCCTCTATTTTCGCAATTGGACTCACAGACAGACATTCTGCCGATCCAATTCCGAGCACAATTCAAAGTGCTGGTTTTGACCTACAAAACCCTATACGGTTCCGGCCCAGTGTATTTGTCCGAACGGATCTCCCTCTACATCCCACCTCGAAGTTTAAGATCTTCTGGGGAGGCCCTGCTCTCGACCCCGCCACTGTCACAAGTGAGGCTGGCGGGGACGAGGAGCAGGGCCTTCTCAGTGGTGGCCCCCCACCTGTGGAACTCACTCCCCGGGGAGATTAGATCGTCATCTTCCCTTTTGGCATTTAGGAAAAAACTGAAGACCTGGATCTGGGATCAAGCCTTTGGTCATTCTGACAGCTAACTGAAGGATCTGATGATAGACAAGGACAAATGGAATGGAATGGATATATGGACTCTGAACCCTGAGCATGAGACTGTTTTATTGTTTTATTATGTACTGATGTTTTTAATTAATTGTTGAATTGTTTGTATTTGTATTGCTTGTGAATTGCTTTGGGCATCTAATTGTGCCCCCACTGTAAGCCGCCCTGAGTCCCCCTCGGGGTGAGAAGGGCGGGGTATAAGTAAATGAAATAAATAAATAAATAAATAAATTCCAGAGCAAACAAAATAGAGAACATGTCTTATTCGCTTCATTGCATCACATAACTGTTTTGGCATCTTGAAATTAAGATGGAAACATATGTAGTAATTTTCTCAACTAGTCACATTTGCGGGGTTTTTTGTTTGTTTTTTTTAAAAAAAATATTAATTACTGTTTGCCAGATCATGAAAGGGATGCCAGATAGTACAAACATGGTATTCCTAACATTTTACACATTAGCTTATTTTTGTTGTTGTCGTCGTTGTTACCGCCTCCTCCACAAGATTGGGGTACAACACCTATCTCTTGGTAATAATTGATGATTACCACTAGGGCTGGGCAACCATGGAAAAATTTGTTTCTAAACTAGATTCGTTTTTAGGGGGTTTTTGCGTTTCGATTTTTAAAAGAATTCCGAAATTTTCCTTAAAAAAAGTTCGAAATTTACGAAATTTTGGAAATTACAAAACAATTTCGAAACAATAACGAATCGATTCGTTAATGGCGGACGCGATTGCGCAATACGCTAAAAAAACCTCCAAATGGGACAGGGGGAACTTCTGAAGCTTCCCTCTCCCTCTGTTGTTGACTGTTGGTGTGATAATTTATTTTTTTATCACTGATAAAACAAACAACAACCATAAAACTTGCACCAGACATATGGAAATAATAACGAAATAATAACGAAACAATTTCGAAACAATTACGAAACAATTACGAAACAATTTGGAAAAATTCGTTTCGTTTTTAGTTGCTCCTGAATGGTTCAATATCGCTTCGTTATAAAAAAAAATAACGAATTAATAACGAATTACGAAATTAACGGAACGAAACCGCCCAGCCCTAATTACCACATATTATTTTGCTCTAAATGATGTTGCACAAACTGAGGTTTGTCACTACTTCTCAGGCAAAAGCTATGCAGATACCCAGGAGCCTTTTCAGCTAGGTCCAAGAATAGGAAGCCTTGGCCTGTACTTGGAACACTGAGAGCAGTGAGAAGAAAATAACTAAAAAAGGCTGGATGGCCATTTGTCAGGGGTGATTTGAATGCAATATTCCTGCTTCTTGGCAGGGGGTTGGACTGGATGGCCCATGAAGTCTCTTCCAACTCTTTGATTCTATGATTCTATGATTGTATTTAGCATTTTTCCTTGAGAAAAAAATGAGTGAAGAATTACATTTCTAATGTGAATAAACATTGTATGTACGTATATACACACATGTATTTTCATGTTCATGGATGTAGTATTAGAAAGCACTAATTTTAATGTACTTACCTGTGCCATTAATCATGTCACAATGGCCTCCCCAGTATGGAAGCATGCTTTTAAAAAGAGAAGAGAAAAGAAAAGTGTAATCCAAATCAGAACAAGTTGAAGAATCTCAAAATTAAAGAAAATATTTAGATGAACATTTTTCTATGATTTCATAGAAAAACTGAATTTCTGCAACTGAATTTCCTATATAGACATAAGAAAAATGGTGGTGCATGACACACTAGTCTAAAGTAATCATTTCTTGCACACAGTAGTCATAATTCATTATCTGACTGGGAAAGGATGAACATCTTAACGGAACAGATTCAAAATAATAAATGGAATCCATAATATGATATTTCAGATTATTGAACCGAGTAAAAAAATATCAGAACATTCAACACTAGAGTAATATAATCTGATTAATGTTTCATATTGAACATGCCCTATCTGAAATGCTTGGGACAAAAAGTGCTTTGGATTTTGAGATACCAATGTTTGCATTTGCATATATCCAATATCATGAAGATGAGACCCAAGTCTGAACATGAGATTCATTTATATTTCATAATATCTTATACATATTATGAAAGTAATTTCATGCAACATTTTTAATAATTTTCTGCTTGAAATAAACAATTGTGTACATTGAACTTTAGAAACAAAAAGTATTATAGCTCAGTGGGTTGTTGTAGGCTTTTTCGTAGGCCTGGGTAACAACGGAAAA